CAAGAATATGAAGAAGAATTAAGATGATTTTTCAATTGTCTTAAGTGATTAAGTACTTACTAGTTAACTTGACACTTTTCTCAACCATTTCTCTTATTTTATTTGAGTTAGACACAATATTCCTACATGAAATCACTCTAAGTCATGAATCCATAGCTAGTCATCTCCTAGATAATAATACATATGTATATATATACATACATGTATTCTTGGTACAAAATAACAATATAGTTTTTATGTATTTGAACTTAAATGTTTATGTTTGATTCTTTTATTTATAAAATTTAGATACATTTTAATTATGACTTATAATAATCCATTTTATATTTTTATGAATTAAATATAAAATTCATTGACCAAGGTATAATTTCGTGACATTTAACCGGTTAAAAATATCGTTAACTACGTTTCGTTACTTCGGTTCGTATACTTGTCAAATTTCGATCATTCACAACTATTAGGCCCAAGTTTTATATAGAATTGAAATTACTCATCAACTCGAGACATGTTGATATGGTAATTAAATTTTGCGTTCAAATGACGTTATATGCTAACTTTCACAAACCGGTGTTGGTTCGTAGTTATAAGTCGTAACGGAATTTATCATTAGTCATATATTTTATTTATCATAAGAAATTATCTAAACAAAACATGTTAAATTCCCACAACTATTTTTGATAAAATATTGATATTGCTTAATAATCAAAACATGGTATCGAACAATCGTTCCTATTTTTGCCAATTGTTACATTCTCTCCCCGTTAAAAGAATTTCATCCTGAAATTCGACTGGTAGACGGGATATCACTAAAAAATTGGGGGTATTTCTTTTTTGTTTGATCCTCGTGTTCCCAGGTGAATTATGGCCCTCGTTGAGAGTTCCATCGAACTTTCATGATAGGGATATGACTTTGTTTCAATCGCTTTACTTCTCGATCCATAATCTCCACAGGTTCTTCAACGAAGTGGAGTTTTGTGTTTAGTTGTGTCTCATCAAGAGGTATTACGTTGGTGTCATCCGACAGACACTTTTTCAGGTTGGATACATGGAATACATCATGTACTTTGCTCAGTTCTTGAGGTAGCTTTTGTCGATAAGCAACAGGACCAATTCTGTCAAGAATTTCAAAAGGTCCTATGTATCTTGGGTTAAGCTTTCCTCTTTTGCCAAAACAAATCATACCTTTCCAAGGTGAGACTTTCAACATCACTCGGTTTCCAACCTGGAATTCTAGAGGCTTACGCCTTATATCAGCATAACTTTTCTGACGGTCATGCGCTGCCTTAAGTCGACCTTTGATATGAATGATCTTCTCGGTCATTTCATGGATTATCTCTGGCCCAGTACGCAGTGTAACATTTGTGTGTGCTCGGGTCAGTTTGGTATCCCTGACCTCTGCCCAGCATCTAGGTGATCGACATTTGCGTCCGTATAAAGCTTCAAATGGTGCTGCTTTGAGGCTAGTGTGATAACGATTATTATAGGAAAACTCAATCAACAACAAGTGAGTATCCTAATAATTTCCAACGTCAATTACACAAGATCGTAGCATATCTTCTAGGGTCTGAACGGTTTGTTCACTCTGGCCATCAGTCTGCGGGTGGTAAGCTGTGATCATATCCAAACAGGTTCCTTGGGATTTGTGAAGTGATTACCAAAAACTTGATGTGAACCTACTATCCCTATCAGGGATAATAGAAGTTGGCACTCCATGAAGCTTGACAATTCCCTGAGATACGTTCTCGTCAGCTTTTCCATTTTGTCGGTTTCCTTGATTGGTAGGAAATAGGTAGACTTAGTTAATATGTCAACCACTACCCAAGTAGTGTCATAACCACTAGGATTCTAGGGCAGCTTTGTGATAAAGTCCATTGCAATTTGCTCCCATTTCCACTCGGGAATCTCAGGTTGTTGCAGTTATCCCGAGGGCTTGTGATGCTTTGCCTTGACTTTAGAGCAAGTTAGGCATTCACCCACGTAAGTGGTAATCTCAGCCTTCATATTAGGCCACCAATATAATTTCTTCAGATCTAGATACATCTTGTCAGAGCCAGGATGTATAGAATGCCTGGATCTATGAGCTTCATCTAAGACTAAGCTTCTAATGTTACCAAACTTTGTTGTCCAGAGTCTGTTCATGAAATAACGAGTTCCATCATCTTTAAGCTTGAAATGTTTATCCATTCCTCGTAAAGCTTCTTCACCAACATTTTCCTCTTCTAGAGCATCTAGTTGAGCTTAACGAATTTGCGTATTGAGGTTAGAATGGATGATAATAGTCAGTGCTCTTACTCATTGGGGGTTTCTTATACTCTTTACAATTTAAAGCATTAACTATAACGTTTGGTTTTCCACGATGATACCAAATCTCGCATTCGTAGTAGTTCAATAACACAATCTATCTTCTTTGCCTCATATTTAGTTCTTTTTGATCAAATATGTGTTGGAGACTCTTATGGTCTGTAAAAATGATACGCTTCGCTCCATATAAGTAGTGTCTCTAAATCTTTAAGGCAAAGACTACTGCTCCCAATTCGAGGTCGTGGGCTGTGTAGTTGTTTTCACGGATTTTAAGTTGTCGTGAGGCATATGCAATGACCTTCTTCCTCTGCATTAATACGCACCCTAATCCTTGAATTGTCGCATCACAGTATACAACAAAATCTTCGGTTCCTTCAGGTAAGGATAGAATTGGTGCACTACACATCATCTGTTTCAACTTTTGAAATGCAGTTTCCTGCTTATCTCCCTAGTCGAACTTTTTTTCTTTTTATGTTAATGTAGTGAGTGGATTGGTTATCTTGGAAAAATTCTCTGTGAATCTTCTATAGTAGCCGGCAAGGCCTAAGAATTGTTGCACTTCGGTTGGCGTGGGGTATGTCCTTGATTTCTTTCGTTTTGCTCTTCTTATCTACTACGTGCACCAAGAAGGCGTAATACTTCTTGTGTAGCTATTTTTGAGCCTTAGTACAAGAAATAAGCTTCAAGTTTTGACCCGACTTGTCACCGTAGATTATCATGGTCTCCCCGTTAGGTGGAGTTAGTCGTACAAATTTTTCGAAACACAGAATTTCAGCACGATGAAGAGACAACCAATCCATATCGATAATAATGTCGAAACTCCAAATATTCATTGGCATTAAGTTGACATAGAATGTGTGGTCGTTCAGAGTTAGGAGGCAATTTCGTAAGATTTCGGTGGTGTTTTCTATCTGACCATTTGCTACTTCTACCTCGTATGCTAAGTCTAGATTACTAGACTCGTGATTTAATAGTAGTTTAAATGACGGGGTTATAAAACTTCTATCAGCACCGGCGTCAAATAGAATTGTAGCATATATATTCTTGATGAGGAACGTACCAGTCACCACCGAGGGATCTTGTATAAAATCTTTGTTCCCTATCACAAAGCCTGACCACTTGCATTACTACACTCTTCTTCAACTTTGAGCAATTTTGCTTGATGTGCCCTTTTTCTCCATATTCATAACGAGCTCTTCCTCCACCAAAACCCGATCCATTACCCTTTCTCGGTACTGCATCAACTAGTGCCATGCCCGACATAAGTTTATAGTATGACCTTTCTTGATGCATTTGGCACAATTGAAACATTCCCCAATGTGGTGTCGATTGCATTGAGTGCATAAAGGCATGTTCCCGGTGTAACCCTTTTGTGGGGTCGGAACTGGGGCTGGTGTCACAACATAAACCTTTTTAGTTTGATGCTTTTTCTGCTGGTTCCGGTTCGCCCCATTGGATTTGCGCTTGTGGTGGTTGTTGTTAACTTTTGGAGTTTCAACTTTCACTACCATTAATCCATTTTTGATTTCATTTTAGATCAATTGCAAAGCTAGACGTTTAGTGCTGAGATACGTGGTAGGTTTTGACGAGAGTACCATCCCTTTTATTTGTGGAGCCAGACTCCATATATAACGCTCTACGTTCTTGCTTTCTGGTTTCACCATGCCCGGACAAAGGAGCGCAAGGTCATTAAACCTTGTCATGTAAGCCTTGACACTATCACCTTTCATTTTTAGGTTCCAAAGCTCATGTTCTAGGCTCTGTATTTCTTCTCTGGGGCAGTACTCCTCTATCAGAAGTTCCTTCATGTTTCCCATGACATTGAGTTGGCCACTAATACATTCAACATTTTTACATGGTTAGTCCACCATTTTAGAGCTCCCTCCATCAAGGTGCATGCAGAAAAATGCACTTTGCTACACTAAGCGTAGTAGCATAAGTAAAAAAACTTCCACTTTTTCAAACCAACGAGTTAAACCCACAACGCCGTCGTTCCCATAAAAGTTTCTTGGCTTGCAATTTAGGAAGTCCTTGTAGGAACAAGTTCTTCTAGGCTTTTCTGGATGCGAGTGAAGAGTGCTTCAAAGTCCGTTTCCCAATCCGTTTACTTCCACGAGTTGTCTTCCACCATTCAAACTCCTTGAAGTTGCCATTACAATTGTAATGCATTCTGAAATTAGTTGTTCCAATTTGGTTGTAGTTTGAGGAAGTTCTGACTCGGGAGGTGGTGGAATTGGTGTGCTAGATGTTGGTGTTTCAGTTACTGGAGTCACAACCGGCCTTCTGGTTGGTTGACCTCTCCGAGTTCGTCCTATAGCTGGTTCGGTAGTTGGTGTTACTTTGGGGTGTGATCAGGTGTTCCTTCTTAGAGGCATTTTGATTTCCTATTTCAGTTAGTAGTAGAGGTTAAGTTTGTGATGTTTTTGTTAGTTCTTTCATAATGTTATTATTCATGATCAGAATTCATATAATGGTTCAAAAATATTTTAGACTTAATAACATATGCTTCATTATATTAAACATTAACATTCGAGTACATTAGTCTTTACAATTCTCAGAATGTAAAGACTTACAATTAGTGGTACAAAGACCCACTAATAAACAAATAAAGTTTACATATGCTTACATATCCTAATACATATCTAAAAAGTTTGTCGCCAAAATTTGCAAGTTTCTTGAAAACCCGCCCAATTAGTTTATTAAAAACTCAAGAACTTGGCCACTGTGTGGGACATGTCATCATATTTTTCTTGCAGTATTGCATGTTTCTCCTCTAGTGTTTCGTGTTTTTCTTCTAGTATAGCATGCCTATCCTCGACTCCGTGTGCTACTGAAAGGGCAATTTGGTTTTGAGTTTCCATACTGGTTACTCTCGAATCGAAATTCGTCCAGTTGCTATGGTGGTAGTCCATCCTTTGATGGAGATTGTCTTGCAAGATCTGATACTGATCTTGTCGTTGATACATTCTGGCTATTTCTCCCTTCGTTTTTACTGATTGACCTTGCATGGTGCTTAATACGTCACAGATGTGCCACATTTGTGCATGCAATCAGGTGTTCTGCTCAAGTAGGAAGGACATTTTGTCAATGTCCATGTCAGATGGGGGTGCAGCCCCCGATGCCTCATTACTATGAAGTATAACTTGAGGTCCTCCCGCACTAAAAAGGCGATAGACCCACCCGTTTGGCAAGAAACCAAGGGCAACTAGAGGACGGTTGAAAAGCGGGCTGCAGGAACATTTGAGGAGGGACAGGGATCGGGGGCTGCACCCCCATCTGGTATGGACATTGACAAATTGTCTGTCCTACTTGAGTAGAACATACGATTGCAGGGACAAATGTGGCAAGTCTGTGACGAATTAAGCACCATGCAAGGTCAATTAGTAAAAAATAAGGGAGAAATTGCCCGAATGAATCAACGACAAGATTAGTATCAGATCTTGCAAGACAATCTCCATCAAAGGATGGACTACCACCATAGCAACTGGACAAATTTCGATTCGAGAGTAACCAGTGTGGAAACTCAAAATAAAATTGCTCTTTCAGTAGCACACAGAGTCGAGGAGAGGCATGCTAGACTAGAAGAAAAACATGAAAGACTAGACGAGAAACATGCAATACTGCAAGGAAAATATGATGACATATCCCACATGGTGGTCAAGTTTTTGAGTTTTTATTAAACTGATTGGGCAGGTTTTCGAGAAACTTGCAAATTTTGGCGACAAACTTTTCGGATATGTATTAGGATATGTAAGCATATGTAACTTCATTTGTTTATTAGTGGGTCTTTGTACCACTAATTGTAAGTCTTTACAATTTGAGAATAGTAAAGACTAATGTACTCGGATGTTAATGTTTAATATAATGAAGCATATGTTATTAAGTCTAAAAATATTTTTGAACCATTATATGAATTGTGATCATGAATAATAAAATTATGAAAGAACTGACAAAAACATCACAAACTTAACCTTTACTACTAACTGAAATAGAAAATCAAAATGCCTTCAAGAAGGAACACATGATCACACCCCAAAGTAACACCAACTACCGAATCAGCTATGGGACAAACCCGGAGAGGTCGACCAACCAGAAGGACGGTCGTGACTCCAGTAACTGAAACGCCAACATCTATCACACCAATTACACCACCTCCTGAATCAGGACTTCCTCAAACTATAGCAGAATTGGAGCAACTAGTTTCAGAACGCATTACAATTGCAATTGCATCTGCAAGGAGTTTGAATGATGGAAGACAACTCATGGAAGTAAATGGATTGGGAAATGGACAGGGAAGCACTCTTCACACGCACACAGAAGATACTAGAAGAACTTGTTCCTATAATGACTTCCTAAATTGCAAGCCAAGAAACTTTTATGGGAACGAAGGTGTTGTGGGTTTAACTCATTGGTTTGAAAAGTTCAAGCTGTTTTTGACATATGCTACTGCGCTTAGGGTAGTAAAGTGCGTTTTACTGCGTGCATCTTGATGGACGGAGCTATAACATGGTGGAATGACCATGTAAAAACTTTGGGTGTAGTGGTGGCCAACTCAATGTGATGGGAAAACATGAAAGAACTTTTAATAGAGGAACACTTCCCCCCCCACCCCAAGAAGAAATACAGAGCCTAGAACATGAGTTTTGGAACTTAAAAATGAAAGGTTCTGATGTCAAGGCTTACACGACGAGGTTTAAAGACCTTACGCTCCTCTGTCCGGGCATGGGGAAACCGGAAGGCAAGAAAGTAGAGCATTATATATGGGGTTTGGCTCCACAAATAAAAGGGATGGTACTCTCTTCAAACCCTACCACGTATCTCAGTGCTAAACGTGTAGCTCTGCAAATTGATAAAAAAAATGAAATCGAAATGGGATTAATGGTAGCGAAAGTCGAAACTCCAAAAGTTAACAACAACAACCACAAGCGCAAATCCAATGTGGCGAACCGAAACCAACAAAAAAAACATCAAACTAAAAAGGTTTATGCTGTGACACCAGCCCCGGTTCAGACCCAACAAAAGGGTTACATTGGGAACATGCCTTTATGCACTCAATGCAATCGACACCACATTGGGGAATGTTTCCATTGTGCCAATCCATCAAGAAAGGTCATACTGCAAACTTTTGTCGGGGAATGGCACTAGTTGTTGAAGTACGGGGAAGGGGTAATGGATCGAGTTCTGGTGGAGGAGGAGCTTGTTATGAATATGGAGAAAATGGGCACATCAAGCGAAATTGCCCAAAGTTGAAGAAGGGTGATGGTAATGCTCGTGGTCGGGCTTTTGTGATAGGGAACTAAGATGTTATACAAGATCCCTCGGTGGTTACTGGTATGTTCCTCATCAATAATTTATATGGTACAATTCTATTCGACTTTGGTGCTGATAGAAGTTCTATAAACCCGTCATTTAAATAACTATTAAATCACGAGTCTAGTAAATTAGACGTATCATACGAGGTAGAAGTAGCAAACGGTCAGATAGAAAACACCACCGAAATCTTACGAAATTGCCTCCTAACTCTGAACGACCAAACATTCTATGTCAACTTAATGCCAATGAATATTGGGAGTTTCGACATGATTATCGGTATGGATTGGTTGTCTCTTCATCATGCTGAAATTCCCTGTTTCGAAAAAGTTGTACGACTAACTCTACGTAATGGGGAGACCATGATAATCTACGGTGACAAGTCGGGTCAAAACTTGAAGCTTATTTCTTGTACGAAGGCTCAAAAATATCTACACAAGAAGTATTACGCCTTTTGGCGCACGTAGTAGATAAGAAGAGCAAAACGAAAGAAATCAAGGACATACCCCACGTATGCAACTATCCAGATGTGTTTCCTGAAGATCTTCTTGGATTGCAGCCAAGTCATAGCGTCGAATTCCAAATTTATTTAATTCTGGGAGAAACCCCAGTAGCGAGATCCCCCTATAGACTGGCTCCATCTGAAATGCAAGAACTTTCAAGTCATCTGCAGGAAGCCAAGAACTACTAGACAAGGGTTTTATCAGACCATGCTTCTTACCGTAGGGAGCGCCAATCTTGTTCGTCAAGAAGAAAGATCGTTCTTTCAGGATGTGTATAGAATATCGAGAGTTGAACAAACTAACAGTCAAGAACCGTTATCCACTCCCCATAATAGATGACCTGTTTGATCAACTTCAGGGATCTAGTTACAATTCAAAGATAGATCTAAGATCCGGGTATCATCAACTGAAGGTACTAGAAGCAGACGTTTCGAAAACTGCATTTAGAACTCGATACGGACACTATGAGTTTCTAGTTATGCCCTTCGGATTGACTAATGCTCCAGCAGTATTCATGGACCTCATGAACCGTGTATGCAAACCATACTTAGATAGGTTCGTAATAGTGTTTATTGACGACATCCTAATCTATTCACAAATAAAAGAGGAACATAGCCAACATCTGAAGTTAATCTTGGAATTGTTAAGAAAGGAAATGTTGTACGCAAAATTCTCCAAATGAGAATTTTGGATTAGAGAAGTACACTTCCTAGGGCATGTAGTAAGTAACAGAGGGATACATGTAGATCGCACAAAATTCGAAGCAGTTAAGAATGGGGATGCACCAAGGACGCCAACCGAAGTACGACAATTCTTAGGCCTTGCCGGCTATTATAGAAGATTCATAGAGAATTTTTCCAAGATAGCCAAGCCACTCACTGAATTAACAAAAAAAGAAACAAAGGTCGACTAGGGAGATAAGCAGGAAACTGCATTTCAAAAGTTGAAATAGATGTTGTGTAGTGCACAAATTTTATCCTTACCTGAAGGAACCAAAGATTTTGTTGTATACTACGATGCGTCAGTTCAAGGATTAGGGTGCGTATTAATTCAGAGGGGGAAGGTCATTGCATATGCCTTACGACAACTCAAAGTCCATGAAAACAACTACATAACCCACGACCTCGAATTGGGAGCAGTAGTCCTTGTCTTAATGATTTGGAGACACTACTTATATGGAACGAAGTGTATCATGTTTACAGACCATAAGAGTCTCCCAACACATATTTGATCAAGAACAACTAAATATGAGGAAAAGAAGATGGATTGACTTAATGAATGATTACGAATGCAGGATTCAGTATCATCCTGGAAAAGTAAACGTTGTATCACCCACTTCAGCCCAACACAGAGGAGATTTGCACTTGCGGCCATAGAGGTTTGTATGGAAAAGTAAACGTTGTATCCCAAGCTTTAGCAAAATCTATCACACAAGCTCTCAACATGTCTTCCAACGTTTGTATGGTCCTTTCGCTTTGCCCATCCGTCTTAGGATGGTACGTTGTACTCATGTCAAGATTGTTTCCTAAGGACATTTTTGAAGTGATTGCCAAAATCGCGAGGTAAACCTACTATCTCGGTCAGAGATAATAGATATTGGCACACCATGCAATCGTACTATATCTTTAATGTACGTCCTTGTTAACTTCTCCATTTTATCAGTTTCTTTTATTGGCAGGAAGTGTGCGGATTTGGTTAATCTGTCGACGATTACCCAAATGGTGTCATGACCACCCGTTGTCCTGGGTAGTTTGTTATGATATCCATTGTAATCCGCTCCCACTTCCACTCAGGTATTTCTGGTTGTTGAAGTAAACCTGAGGGCTTTTGATATTCTACCTTGACTTTGGTGCAAGTTAGGCATTTGCCCACATAAATAGCAATTTCAACTTTCATTTTTGGCCACCAATAGAGTTTCTTAAGGTCCAGATACATCTTGTCTGAACCCGGATGAACGGAGTATCGAGTTTTATGGGCTTCGTTCATGACAACATTTCCGTAACCACCAAACTTCGATGTCCAGATCCGATTCATGAGATAACGAACTCCGTCACCCTTGATTTCCAAGTTCTTTTCCATTCCTCTTGATGCTTCACCCGTCTCGTTCTCAGGTTTCAAGGCTTCCAGCTGAGCCTCCTTGATCTGTGTGGGTAGATGGGAATGGATAATCATAGTTAAGGACTTTACTCGGCGGC